TCTCTGGGCCTTTCCGGGTAGCATTCCCACGCCGTCCCCCGAGACACGGCAGCACAGCCGTAATTGGATTACGGCGCTCACCTCGAGGTGCCCTGGGCCCTGTGGACATCAAGCACTCGTCGTACACCCCTCACCCTCGTTATTGGAGGCGCCCAGGGACGTTTTGGCGACTCTTTCTCTTATCCCTCGGCTACGCAACCCCTCCTTAGGGGGCCTTGGGAGCGCCGACGTGTAATTTTGTAGAGCCGTCACCTCGTGAGAATCGGCGATGCCAGAGTTCCGTCGTAGTGGTGCCCGTCGAACACCTTCGGTTGAACGGCGGGTAGTCCGGCCGACATCCCTGGCGGAAGTACCTCGCTACCTGTCAATGTATCCGCAATCCGGAACTCCCACATTCACCATCAGGACACGTCAATGGGGGTTAGTGAGCGGTGCCGCATTACATTGCGGGCCCGAATATAGTCGGAGGCTACAACTTGCTGCTCCCTGCGAGGCGGTTCCAAGCAGGAAAAAGAAAAAAGGTACCACTCCTCCATCTCTTTTGAGTTTCCTAAATTACTGGATCCAGCTACAACTCACCAGTGGAGTGAGGCCGTGTACCTTTGCGAATTTCCCGAAAGCAAACACGCCACTGGAATCGCGCTGCTGTTCGTGCGTGAGTTGGCGGGTATCAAAGTGCAGAAAAAATCGGGGGTGGTCTGCTGAAGCGCCGTGGTCGCGTGACTTCCCGAATTGCGCCCCACTCTGTCCGCGCACTAGCGCGGAGTTTTTGCCAATCGAGGATGTTGACCGCTTGCGACCGGCGCCGATCGACAAAAGCGTAGAACATCAAAAAATCAAATTTCGACGACATGACAATTTGTAGCAAAGAAAGGAATATACGCGTCAGGAGAGTCGACAAGGAGAAGATCCGAAAACATACTGAGCCAAAGAGGACAACTGGAAACCAAGGACAACGGTAACGCACCAAAATAAGAAGTCCGATATATGACTAGCAAAGCAACAACTAATCAGAAGCAAATCAGGCTGCCAAAAAAAGACAAACAACTATCCTCATACACCATGAAAAACACCTACTACCCACGCGGGTTGTCTCGGCGGACCGTGCGCTCCAAACTGGAGGCATTTTCGTCTGAGTCAAGCGCAGGTTAGCCTACGGACCTACCCCCAGCACGGGAAAGTTCGGGAGTATGCCGCGTATACAACCGCGGCCGCTACTTTAGGCCCCACTTCATGGTAGAGGTCCTGGTGCCTGCTGCCCGACACTCACCCCTCCTTTGCCGTTGTCGAGTGAGGCAGGCACGTCCCCACGACGGGCGAACAAGCGGTTCCGAACTCTTTTTTACAGCGTGTCGCTGTCGCTCCCTGCGGCACATGGCGACGGAACGTCAACGTGGTGGCCTCCCTCCTGTTGCAGTCCAGTTGGTCGCAAAAAATTTGCAGTGGTCCTCCGGCACTGGTATTTTCAGACGCCCATATTACTCTAGCGGGGCAACTTCGGCGACAGGAGTTATTTGTTGGTACCAGTCCGTCACTCTACCGTGAACACAGTCGTCTTTTCATAACTTTAGTTACAATTGTTTTTTTTACGTTTATATTATGAATATATATATTTTTATAAAATCTAGAAATCATTAGTAGACGTAAGCAGACATGTACGAAAAACAGAAACAGAGAAGTTTTATCACAGAATGTCACACACGATAACTCGGGGACAAATCTCACACAACAGATGCCTATGGGTGTAAAACCAAACTATGGTCAGTTCTCTCGCGTCACTGCGGCAGGAATTGGCCTTTAATTTGAAGAAGGCCAAGAAGCAAGCGCTTTGTTACGTTAATAAAGGTAACTACAAACCCTTAACGATCTTTATTCCAACACCCTAACTGTTTGTAAATTCTCTCCCTAGGTGCAAATACAAGCCGGCCATTCATAGTTGTACAGTTGGTATTAAAAATATTAGAACTCATATAATTTAGATCAGCGTCTTCGTTTTACTTCAAGACGATATTGCCTTTGTTCGTCATGGTCAACGGTCATGTCGTCGTCGCCCAGCCGTGCCTGAAGTTGTACGGCGGTTGAATTCTAGAAAAGTTGACTGAACGGTTACTTTGACGTGAAACTTGTGAATTTTATAATTGTAAAATTTGATATATGGGGCAGATGACGGAAAACAAAACAAATTGACATCATGTACATTGACACCCTTCTATAAAGCTAATAAATACCTACAAATTGTACATACTTAAAAACCTGGTTATTCCTGCTGAAACTGAAAGCAGCACGAACAGTACAAAATTGTTTCGAAAGTAAAATCGTGTGACTTAAATTATCTTAGTACGACACAGTTAAGGTCAGACTGATTTAGCAAAATGGTTCTACTGTTCTTCTACATCTATCCTCCTCCGCGTGATGTCAGTCCTGTGCATTTTGTCCACGTCGATCTACTTCCACACGAATGCCACACAAGTCCCGATCGTACTCTCTGCTTCCAAATTTAACACAGCCCACTAATAACTATCGTTCTCATGGCAAGGATCTTCAATAAATAAGTGTAATTAGTTAGTTGTTTAGGTAAAATACCACAGTATACTTTATGAAATAACCGTTCGTCAAAATAATAATATCATCGTGAAAAGTGTGTTCCGTTAAGTTATCACGCCGAGCACGTCTCGGTGGACCGGGTGAAGGCTGCTCACCTGGACTTGGACCAGCCGGTGGTGCTGGCTCGACCTCCGCGACGGGGCCGCCCCCGGCCTCGACCCCTGTCACGGAATTGGGGCCTACGGTTCTGGTCCCAACTCTTCCAGCGGCCGCCCCTTCAGAGGTCGACTCCCCAGCTCCCGTTTTTCGGAGTCGGGGTGATCGGCTTGTCGTTCCTCCCCGCCACACAGACTTTGTGTTTAAGTGAATTCTGGGGGGGCTTGTGTGGTGACAGTTACGGGACATAATTCACTGGGTCATACAGTGTGTGTTGCAACCCGGACCCGTTAGTGAGGGTACCGGGTTGAGAGTTCATTCATGCTAGCTGGTTACACAGAGCAACTCATGTACTCACGTTGTCTGGATTAATAATAATAAAGTGTGGAAATCCATTCTGAATGCACCTCTGACTCCCGTTCATCCACAGCTCCTCTCTCCGCTCAGGCAGCCCCCCCCCACTCCAAAGCAGTAAACCTAGGGGAAAAACTGAATCTATTCTAGTAGACCTCAACAATGGAATTATGATCAGTAGAAATGGGACCTTTAAGTAATACAAGATGATATGATGACCTCTGTGCTACGGGTGCTCCGTGCATGCATGCAGTGACATGTAATATCCAAGGATTAGAGACAGTTGGATGTTGCTGTTTTGCACATTGCAATACATTTATTTGTATTATGTTTTTTTTATGATTAGAGACTGTTGGATGCTGCTGTTTTGAGCATTGCAACACATTTATTTTCACTATGTTATTTATGATTATCTTTAGGCTCAGTAAAGATTTGATGTCAGCTGTTTCTGTCTTTTTTCTTTATTTAATACTGAAATAGAGCCTTGCTGTTTTGTTAGGGCTTTTTCTTTAAATATATATATATATATCTCTTTAAAATGTCCTTTTTTAAATGTCTATGCTTAAGTTTTTACATGTGTTGCTATCTGCTTTGTGTAGCGTGGTTCTACAAGCAAGTCAATGCGTTCATTGGGTGGTATCAGAGAGTTACAAGGGTCTGTAAGTGCAATGAAAACAATTGGCCACAGCAAATCATTTATATTAAAAATGTAATTTTTACTTTTGAATACTTCAGTACAAAAGATGTATTGAATCTGTCATTTACGACAGTGTCGGACAACAAATAGATCGAAATAATTCACTACTCCTCAAACGCCGAGAAAAATCACCGGCCTAGTAAACCGAGGCCGAGGTTGCCCTAGAAGTAAACTGTAGTATATGGAAAGATATTAAGTTAGTTTACCATCGGGACAAAACTGATTACTAAATATACACATGTTATNAATTTGTATTCAAATTAATTAATCAATTATTTTGTATATTTTATTGTAATGTATAGACAAGGCTTTTAGTGACAATCATGTATTGCGTTACAATTATATGTAAAAAAATTAATCAAAAAATCTAAATATGATATTTGGCCTCAAATCATCTGAGGCCTGGCGCCCCTCCTGCGATCTTTGGTGCACCCCCAGGTTGGGAACCACTGGTCTATAGGCACTGCATTACTTGGCCTTGTGAGAAGTTTCTTGTGAGAAGTTTGGCTGACATGGTCCCTTAGGTGTTACTATCCATTAACTTAATTTATAATATAGATTATTGTGTTACATGAAATCTGCCTGCTCCTCGTGTGTGTGGGTTAATTGGGGGATTAAAATAACTGGGTGCCAGCCAGTGGGCCATTACATGGAGGGCTCAATCACGTCAAGTACATATGTCAAGACTATTAACAACGTATACACATACTACAAGAATTCCCCCATTTGAAGACACCGACTCAATCAACTCCAAAACGAAATGGAGGAACACGACTTGCTGAGCAAAAAACAACCGTCGGCTACATGCTGGTTGTCGCTGCAGAGGACAGTTAAGGGCATACGTGCCAACTGGGTTGCTCTGGTGTTGGAGTTGGAGGAGGAGGAGGAAGCTGCCAGAGACTGTCCTGTAGCTAAAGGTATTAGAAAAGCGCCTCCAACCGTACATGTTCCCTGCCTTGTATGTGATGGGAACTCTGGCTCTTTTTAGTGAGCCGGTTAATTTGGCTCGGCTCACCAAGAAGAGCCGGCTCTTTCGGCTCCCAAGCGGCTCTTAATTTGACCACATATACCTTTTATAATTCAATCAAATGTAGCCCTGTTTTGACTAATGATTTATATGTGTACACATATATCACTTAAATTATTCAATACATCCTTTGTACTGAAGTATTCAAAAGTAAAAATTACATTTTTAATATAAATGATTTGCTGTGGGCAATTGTTTTCATTGCATTTACAGACCCTTGTAACTCTCTGATACCACCCAATTAACTCACTGACTTGCTTGTAGAACCACGCTACAGAAAACAGATAACACTTATAAAAAGCATAGCGTTTAAAAAAAGGATAAAAAGTGTGTGTGTGTGTGTGTGTGTGTTAGGGCTGTGCAATTAATCGTATATTAATCGCAATTACGATTTTGGCCTGCCACAATTACGAAAACATAATTGAAAAAAAATGATTATTTTGCTTTGCTAGGTTGTGACAGTGCACTACAACATATTTGATCTACCGTAATTTTCGGACTATAAGCTGCGCCTTTTTTCCCATTTTTCGACGCTGCGGCTTATATAACGGTGCGGCTAATCTATGGATTTTTACAGCTAACGGCCACTAGGGGACCTCCTAAATCTATGGATTTTACAGGTTTCAGTCCACCACCTTTAACTCTATGGGCTCTATGGCCGCTCCGCGCCCCCCACCTTTAAGCGGTGGGCTCCAGCAGGAAAAGCTGGAGGCCGGAAAAGAGTGAGACAGGTAGCGCGCAAAAGTAAAAGTGGAACCGAGAGTGGTACGAGAGACAGAACGAGAGCAAGACAGACAGACATTACGAGAGCGAGACNCTGGATAAGCGCATTTTTAAAACATAGTCATTGTCCATGCCGGTTTCAGTACAAAATGGAGGAGACCGATCTGATCGGAGCAACTGTGACAAATAATCCAACTGAAACCGGCATGGACAATGACTATGTTTTAAAAATGCGCTTATCCAGACAAACCCGGTTGAGACACTTAACGCGCAGAAGAAACATTTATATTAAAGAAAAAATTATACATTTCTGTCTTTTTATGCCTATAATAGCTACTAACTTGAATTTGTATTCAAATTAATTAATCAATTATTTTGTATATTTTATTGTAATGTATAGACAAGGCTTTTAGTGACAATCATGTATTGCGTTACAATTATATGTAAAAAATTTTTAAAAAAAAATCTAAATNTCTTATTAGTGATGGGAGTTCCGGCTCTTTTTAGTGAGCCGGATCATTTGGCTCCGCTCCCAAACGGCTCTTCATTTGACCACATATAATTATAAAAGGTATATGTGGTCAAATGAAGAGCCGTTTGGGAGCGGAGCCAAATGATCCGGCTCACTAAAAAGAGCCGGAACTCCCATCACTAATAAGAGCTAGATACAACAGGCTGACAGCATTTACTGTCTATGGTTGACCGGTGGAGGAAGTTTTAAGACAATTTACTCGAATAAAGAACAAAAACAAACACATTTTCATCAATAATTCAAGGTTAGGGGGTGAATAACTGAAATACAAAAGTATTCCTTTAAAAAAAAGTGTATTGATCACTTACAAAAACGAAAAACAGCTTAATTTTAGGGAATCCATCCAGTTATCCATCCTGATTTAGTGCTTTGTGAGTAATCATCAAGCACTAAATCAGTTTCCATAAATGAATAAAGAAATGTTGAAATTTCTTGAACTCTCACCTTCTTTCATATTCTTAACATTTTATAGTAAGATGTCAACAGAATGAATAAAAACAAGTACCGCAACAAGAAGTAGTTTCTTTATTTTGGCAAATGAAAAATTACTGTTTCAGTAATTATTATATGGAACACTTAAATCAATAGTTTTGTCTTTGATTTTAGTGCCCCCATTAGGTCAATTCATGTGATGCAAGGTTATTTTTGAGTTTTAAGCTTTCTCTCAATCCAACATATATTACATACAGTATCAACACAAACACACAGTGGCTCATTTTACACACAAACTCGACATGCCCTGTTCACCCCTGAGCTGAAATAAGGGGAAGTACAGGAATAAAATCCTCCAAATATTGCACAAAATGGCAAAGTTGTTTATAAAATTGGCCAAAGTGAGGATAAGCTATGATTTGAATCTATAAAAAATGTATGTAAAACAAATAATTATTCACCTTTTTTTGTTTTCAAATGAAGCACTTGTATTACATATAGAAAAACCTTGTAAATACACTTCACAGGAGGATGAGAGAGCAAAGACGGACTGCTCTTTGGTATAACAGATGGACGGATGCATGGTGGAAAGCAGCGCAGCCTGTACAGCAAAGGGGTTGAGGTGGGACCAGACGCACAGAAGACAGTAAGTCATAAAATCACAACTGAGCTACATGAGCTCTTTAGTCAACACTGACCTCCTCAGTGGCAGGCCTTTGCCTTTTGTCAAGTCAGTATTACAGTGAAATATCATTTGTATTGGGTGTTTATAGTGCATGAGGCCTCTTCGGGGTTATCTGTTGGCTAGCTTGCTCCTCTTCCTGGAGTGCAGAACGGAAAGACTTGACTTTATCTAAAAACAGGAAGGGAAAATGTCATGTTTCAAAGCATGTGCATCATACAGTATCATCATAACATTAATTCCTGTTAACACTCAACGTTTGTATTAAGAGTTTCTCCTGAATATTCAACCATGCAGAGACATTGATCATGAGTTTGTTTAACTGTGGTTTTATTTATTTTTCTTCTCTGCTCCAGTTGTAAAATATTACAAAATCTCCTGTGTCATGGCTTATTAAACTGTTCTTGGTGCATGAGTGATGAAGTGATCTAAGAAGGTGCAACATGACATTTCTTTCACTCTCTTTATTGTGCTGCTGCAACCTTCAAGTTAATCTGTTATTATATCAGACTTGTGTTTTGTTGAATGTAGCATTGCGCATATTGAGACACAATAAAGACATTGTAAACTTGACGTCAGGTAACATAAAGGGGGCTGAAATAGCTAAGAGGCTTAAATATTGAGGAATGACAGATTATTTTTACCTCTCAGCTCGGTGAGGATGTCGATCTTCTGATCCAGAATTTGTTCAAGTTGAGTTGCAAATGATTCCACGTCATAGTCCACCTCCTCCGTCATTTCTAAAAGCACCTTCTCATCCTCCAGCCAGCGGATCGACTCCTGTAAGGACACGCAGCAGTTTTAACACCTCATGTTGTTTAAATACATTTGAATATGTAGGCTGATAATCGCTGTCACAACCTGACAGTTTGATATTTCAAGGATCTCTAATCTTACTTTGTTTTTATGTGTGTGTTTGATATTTGGGTGGGAGTTTTACTCATTATCAACACATAGAGCTTGTATTTTGTGGGAAATTGGGTCTCTGTAGCACATCTGTGTCTGGCATGATCATGGACAAACTAAATATTTAGGAAATGAGCAGCAATAACTTAATAAAGTTTGAAAAATGTAAATTAGAAAATGTAGTTAAATACTCAAGATTAAAATAAGGATACAAAATAACTTGGAGTGTGATAAATTCATCTGTATTGGTTTTGACATTATTGATTAATTACTTACAGTAACTGTCAAGTTCATTCACATTTTGAACGATGGAATTTTTGCGGACGTTCCATGATTCAAATGAGGCACTCGACATTTCTGAGCTGCCTCCATTGCTAAACGCTTTACTGTACCTGGAACACGGCCCTGTGGTCCTCCAGAACCTGCTCCTCCATCTCCACCAGCTGAGAGACGGCCTCATGGAAAGTGAAGAGCTGCGGGGAAACCTCTTCCACCTACAGAGAGAACAACCAGGAGTGTTTGGACACCATTGATACTGTGAAATAACGGTCTGCAGTTTGTTTATTCAAAAATATGAATTAACTGACATAAATCTATTTAACGTCATTCTTGAAATTCACACACAACCCATGAATGCAATTCTTATGTAAGTTATTGGTGATAAAGTCCACATTACATAACATATCGTCCAGTATTTAGTTTTCAGTCTGATTATAGTTTGGAGACATGAAAACAAGTTCCTTGTCCTTAAACTACATTGGTAAACAAAGCCTACATACAGTACATGATGAATGAGGGAGTATCTGTTCATCTTACGTTCTGTTCACACAGCAGCTTCAGATCATCTCTCTGTGGAGAATTCCCGACTTCCCACTGAGCCTCCAGCACCTCCAGCTGGTTGACACCACATCCTCCCTGACGGATGTCCATCACTGCTTCAGGGTCCATCGAGAGCTCCTTCACACTAAAATAACAAAATGACTGTTGGTACTTCTGCTGAGCTGTCTGATGTAGAAAAAGGGGTTGCTCGTTGCATGCAATAGTCTGAGATGCTGCTGGTGAAAATACTGATCACACGCATGGAAACAAAAACAATACAGACTGACTCCATGCAGGCTCAGGAGAAATCAAGCCTGGAAAAAATAAAAGCAGTAAAATAAACACATTCTTGGGGATGGAGAAAACTTAAAAATGCAGAAATGATCCCAACAAACTTGAGTGATGTAACAACTTGAGCCAACACCATCCTACTGTTGAATCTACTGTGAATATTTCGGAGGCCCCAGTAATGTCTTTGGTAGCCTACATGTAAACTCCCAACATTAAATATCAATTAAAGGACAAATACAAATCCTCTGCTTTGAATAATTTGTGTCTGATATGGTTACATTGAAATCCTTCTACCTCAATGAAACATCCAGAATATATAAATATGCAAACATTGGTTATCAACACTTTGTCGACTGATGTCCATTCTGAGTGTTTTGTGCATTTCCACCTCATACTCATTGTTTCAGTAACATACTGGACCATGATTGGCTCAAAACTAGTACTACTACAAACTCATGCTCTTCTGAACCCATATTAAAGGTGAGCTCATTCTTCCAGATAAGTGCTCGCATTACACAAAATATTGATTATTAGCCAGAAAGCTTAACATATTTCTATATCGCTTATTGACTTGGAGTAACTTTTGAGTGGACAGGAAGAAACAAAAAGTGGTTATGATGGGGTAATGTGGAGAGAAATTATGAAAGACTTAGTAGAAAGTGATCATACTCATAAGTTGGGGAGAGGTCCGAGCGGCTCCCTGAACACCCGCTCTGGTTGAAGGGAATATCTGAAGGACTTATCCCAAACTCTTTTACTCTAGCAGGAGAGAGACAGAAAAACCCAACATGAGCAGACAGTAGAGAATAATGTAATGTTTTGCAATCATTCTCTTTTTTTTGTCCTGTGATCGGATTTACCTATTGGCATATCTCAGCGTGTTCAAGGTGTTTTCACATGACGCCATTCCAGGAGAGATGGTTGCAATCTGGGCAGGGAAATATCAAGAGGGTTAGATCAGTATTTATTAGAAAAAAAGACCAAAATATATAATAATCAATTAGTCCAAGGAGGTACAGTTATATACAAAGCTTAACTTGTTTCTCACCATGCATGTTCTGGAGTTCTCTCCTATGAAGGAGTCCCTCAGCACTTGGGTTAGCTTGCTGGCTCTAAACGGAGTGTGAGGTTTGTTTCTGCCCAGCGCTCGAATACACTCCTGCAGACAGAGACAGGAACATCATCAGTGGCAGAACAATCTCCAAATGTCCAATTATACAGACGCAATTAGACAACACTTTTGATAATCGCTTAACTATATAAAATGTACTTTGGTACATTCCCAAATGTGTGAATTTGCAGCTTTTTTAATATCATATAGTGGTTACATAGGTCTTGACCTTTGACCACCACATTTAAATCAGTTCACCTTAAAGGAGACCTATCATGCTATATTTAAATGATATGGTGTATGACCATACCTATATAAGATATATTTTATTTTTCAAAATACCAAACTCATTTTTTAGCCATGCCTCGTTTCGCTCATTTTCGCTCTATTCCAAGCCTGTCTTTGAAAATTATGAGCAGCAGCTGACCACGCCCCCCTGCAGAAGAGGGGGGCATGAGCCGGCGAGAGTCACGTTACCATGCTTGCTGTGATTACGAGTGTGGAATAAACATGTCATCTCAGAGCAATGCATGTGTTCAAGCATATTATCAATTTGATCCAGAAACTGACCCTGAAGCAGCGGAGGTTTTGGTGGAGGTGCAAACATCTCGGTTGCAGCAGGACGTTTCTGAATGGTTAGTTGACAAGCTGTTGTC